ATGACCTCTTTAGAAAAAAATTACTGGATACTCTATTTAAAAGAACTCCTTCCCTACCCAAGTCATAATAGGCTACATAAGGATTTTTTAAAATTTTATTTTATTGTTTAAAGTATTACAAATACTAGTACATATGTCTCCTTTTCCCCCCCTTAACCTTCCCTCGGCCCCCCCTACCCCTCGGCACAAATATCACTTATAAATATCTACACTTATCTCGGCCCTGGCTGGTGTGACTCAACTGTTACAATATCGGTCTGTGGGCACCAAAGGGTCTAGGGTTCAATTCCCAGTCAAGGGCAGGTACCTGGGTTGCAGGTTCAACCCCCAGCCCGTCAGGGTACATGTGGGAAGCAACCAATCCATGTGTCTCTCTCACATCGATGCTTCTGTTTCCCTCTCTCTCTCCCCCTGTCCCTCCCACCCTCCCTCCCTTCTCTCTCTCTCTAAGTCAATGGGTGAAGAGTAACAAATAAAAATAAAAATAAAATAAACCTGTCTTGTTTACTATTTACTTTCCTAATAATATGTTTTTATGATGAGAACGACCTTGACTGTCTTTGTCACTGTTACTTCCCCAGTGCCTAGAATAAAACCTGGCAGTAGGTATTTGTTGAACAAATGAATTTTTAGAATGTGAAACACTTTCATGTCACTGGAATAAGAATTTCAGGAATAACCATCCCTTTATATAAGCCAATCATGTATATAATAGTTTAGTATGCTATTATGATACCTACAGAATGACTTGAGCCTAGTATAGCCAAATAGATTATTTGGGTATTTTATAAGGATACTAGAGGCCTGATGCACGAAATTCGTGCAAGAGTAGGCCTTCCTTCCCCCGGCTGCCAGCACTGGCTTCCCTCTGGACACCGGCAGGCACCCGGGACCTGGGCTTCCCTCGCAGCCCTGGTTTCGTCCGGAAGGTCTCCCGGAAGGACGCCCGGTCTAATTAGCATATTATGCTTTTATAATTATAGATTTAATAGTTTCTGCTTTAGCTTTTTATTTCTATCTTAATCAAGACCCATTTTCATTATTTATACATTAAACCTGTAATTTACTATAATTCTGAGCAATATGTATGTTGTGTGTGTTAAAAATATCTTGAGAGGAGATTTGAAAGTTTGAATAACTTAAAAAATGTTAAAAATATCATTTTGGCAACCTGCCATACACTTTTTAAAAAATTTCTCTAATCTTTAAAACAGCCCTTCAGTCCTACATGAGAAAAGTGGTAGCCCATACTTCTTTTGTTTGTTTTTCTTTCTAGGCATTTATTTGCTTACTCTAGAAATAATTCTTTTTATCTTGGCAGGTCATTTGTTTTTATTCTTCTGTTGATTGAAAGTAAACACACACACACAAATTACCAATTCTCTTTTACCAATGAATACCTAAGATCACACAGGCCTTTTGAATCTCATACTTTATTGCTCACCAACATGTTTCTTTATAAGGCAATAGAGAATAAAGCATAACTTATTTGATTGTTCTTCAAAGGAAGCATAATATGTTTTTAAAAAGTATCTAGAATTAAGTAGTTTGCCTTATTTCTGGTGCCACAAATAAGTAACGAAACTGGTAGTAAGTATAGTCTAATGCTTAGCTCTACCATTAAAATTATTTTCTCTCTATTTTTAAACAAATAGAGATGGGTTAGATTATCTAAACCTTTTACTAGTTCATTGTTTATAGATTATTGATATATTAAATTGAAATTCAAAACCTGTGATTTTTCTAAAAACAAGCATAAATCATTAAGGAAAGAGCTACATAAGTATATCTGTCAAAATAAACTTTTGATATAATTGTTTTTGTAGTAATAAATTAAGCGCTGCCATTTTTTGATTATTTAGTGTGGACAAAACTCTGCAATAACTTCTTTATAGATATTAGTTTCAATTTTTTCCAAATTACAAAAATATAGATTATTTGTAACTGTAAATCCTCAGATGAGGATTAACAAGAAAAATAAAAATAAAAGTATTTGTCAGATGAAATTTCTTAAGAGTAAGAAGAAAAAGTGTAAACATTAATAAAGCTCACTAAACTTGATTATGATTTGCGAGGGCTACAATCAATGTTTTTTAGTGCTTCATAATGTGTGCTGAACTCCATTCCTCAGTGACTATACTAGGATCCATTAACACAAATGAAGATCCTATGATTTTGGTGTAAAACATAAACATACACTTCAATTTAATATGTCAGGGAAAAGATTAACCTTATGAAATTATGTTTCCATCACATTTGGGTTGAATTATTAATAGCTTGTGTTAATGAGAAAAATACTAACTTATTCATTAGAGATGTGATAGCTTAATACAGACGTTACATTTTATTGGTCACAAACTCCAGTAAGTTTTTGAAAAGCTTTAACTTTCTGTAACTTTTATTGAACAAATGAAATCCATTCTGAGTTGCTTGTTAGAAAATTTACTCCTTTCTCTTATAAAATTAGTTCTCTTTTTTTCTGAAGCTTTTCTTATTATCTTCTCTGTCATTCTTTCTTTAATTCTTATTTCCTTTGAAACAGAATGCACTTGTCTTCATTTATTTCTAGGCTTAGGAGAATGCGTGGAATCCTAAATTCCAGTGTTAGTTAATACAGACCCAGTTCCAACCTAACAGTGTTAGAGGCCTACAGCTAGAACTGAGAAAACTCACTCTTCAGCTTCCTCATGCCAGGAAAAAAGGCAGTGCCATAGAGCTGCAGCTACCACTGCAGTGGCTGCAGTTGTCAGACAATCATTTACTCTAAAAAGTGTTCCCCCTGATATCTCCAGTGCCCACCTGGCACAATACATAGTTGTTACAATAGTAGAGGCCCGATGCATGAAATTCATGCAAGGGCCTTGGCCATAGCCCCCGCCCCCCACCGCCACCTCGACCAGGGGGTCTCTACCACCTCTGCCTCAGCCCCTGCCCACTGCGGCTTTGTCCGGAAGGAAGGATGTCCGGTCTAATTAGCATATCATGCTTTCATTATTATAGATTATCCACTATATTTCCTATGCTATACTTTACATCCCCATGACTATTTTGTAAATCCCAATCACAGTTTTTGTTTTTCCCCTAAAACTTATATTCCCTCTCTCGATAACATGTACCACCATCTATCCAAACAGTCAGTCACCTGAGATTTTTATCTTATTCCTTTCTCTGCATTGATAATATCTAATCTGTAACTAAGCCTTTAAATAACTTTTGATGTACCAATTGCCTCTATTGATACTTTAATTCAGCTCATTATCATCTCTTAACTGACTGATGAATTATCCTCATAAATTATCTTTCTGCTTATAGTGCACAGGTACATTTTTAAAAAATATAGCTTCTAATCTTTCCAGAAAGAAACATCTGATCTTGTTCCTCCCCTATTTTATGCTTCAATAACCTACACCATCTTCAGACCCCCTCCCTGCCTACTTTTCTGAACCTGTTTGAATTATTTTGCCTATATCATTTCTCCTCCCTGAAATACTTTCTACATATAAGGTCAACATCTTTCTAGTTTTTAACATGCAACTCAAAGGTCATTTTTTCTATGAAGTCTTTCTTGAACTAATATCTACCCTTTTCAGGTGGAAGTGATCACACTTTGTGATTCCACTAATATATATAAAATGTTAAATATATAGATACATAATTTCTCATTATATCTGTCATACTATTGTGTTTACTTGATAGACCCACATTAGAAAAGCCCACAAGGATAGGGGGCTGTATTGTGCCCTGTTATTTCCAGCACCTTGAACAGTACCACACAGCAGGTGCTTAAAAAATGAACGTTCAATGGCCTGGCTGGGTGTGGGTTGGTGGTTGAGATTTCCTGTCAAGGCACATACCCAGGTTGAGGACTCCATGCCCAGTAGGGGACACGCAGGAGACAACCGACTGATGTTTCTCATCAATGTTTCTATTTCTCTCTCCCTTCTTCCTCTCTCTGTAAAAATCAATTAAAAAAATTTTTTAAATGAGTGTTGAATGAATGTTCAAGTTTTACTTCAAGTGTTACTTCTTCCATGAAGCCTTTCTGGCCATCTAGTTAAAACAAATTTTATTTGACTTTATACCTTTGTTAGAGTCACCCACATTGGCACACAAACGTAACATGTTACTCACATATTTTAACTTCTCAATGATACTGATAGCTTAGGGCATGCAGGTCTTTCATATTTTCCACAGTTTAGCACATTGCTGAACTCATGATAGAAATAAAATGCTTTTGTTATTATGTAAAAAACAAAGGCACATACCCAGGTTGAGGACTCCATGCCCAGTAGGGGACACGCAGGAGACAACCGACTGATGTTTCTCATCAATGTTTCTATTTCTCTCTCCCTTCTTCCTCTCTCTGTAAAAATCAATTAAAAAATTTTTTTAAATGAGTGTTGAATGAATGTTCAAGTTTTACTTCAAGTGTTACTTCTTCCATGAAGCCTTTCTGGCCATCTAGTTAAAACAAATTTTATTTGACTTTATACCTTTGTTAGAGTCACCCACATTGGCACACAAACGTAACATGTTACTCACATATTTTAACTTCTCAATGATACTGATAGCTTAGGGCATGCAGGTCTTTCATATTTTCCACAGTTTAGCACATTGCTGAACTCATGATAGAAATAAAATGCTTTTGTTATTATGTAAAAAAAAAAGTGGAGCACAAGTTTTAAGTCTAAAATAAGCTGAAGAGCAAATTATAATTAACTTATGTAATCTAACTGATCATATATATGTATATATATCCAGTTATGGGAAGAAATCTATATATAACACAAAAAGTAACCATTGTATTTTCATCCATCTAACAGGAGCAGCTGTCGTTAAAAGTTGACTATACAACTACCTAAAATGAAAATACCTAAGAGAGTTTAACATTTTGTTATATTAGAGGAGAATGCAAAATTAAATTAAAAAAATAGTAAAACTTCCTAAGGCAAGTTAGCTAAATAAAAAAATAGCCGAGAAAAGCGGTAGAAGAGACAGACCTGAATGTCTTCTCCTGGTGGGGTCCCCGTCTTCTGCGACCACACCGTGTAATGACAGACAGAGACAAAGGAGATGGGTGTGAGTGGAGATACTCAGAGGGTAAAAGTGACACGCAAGGGAAGAGCCCAAATCATTTGGAGAAAGAATCCTGTGCATAATGGTAGGAAAGATAGAATCAAACACATTCTATAAAAAAAGGGAAGAACTGGTGAGGAATTAGTTAAGCTACTATGGGTTAGTAGGATCAGAGAAATAAAGTTAGTGTAGAGAAAAAGTGGATTCAAAAGGTTATTAATTATTTGTGGACAGCCAATCCTGATCACTGATGCTGAAGGAAGAGACCGTGAATAAAAACCGTGTTACTAGTGTGACCATATTGTTTAAGGCATTACTGAGTCCATTTAGGATCAGTGAAAATCCTTTTAGGATTTTTAATTATCATGTAAAAAATAAAATTTAATTGAAACATCTTCAAAGAGAGCAATAAAAATAGTTCCAACAGATTTTATGCTTTTTTACATTTCCCAAATAGATCAGTGCACGCATGAAAATAAAGTACAGTCATCGGGCCAACATTTACTAAATGACTTCAGTACAGCAAAATATCATAAAATATGATGGAGAGTAACAAATATAATAAAATTCATTATGAGAAGAGTAGCTGAAATATATGGTTTTATGTAAATATTAAAGATTCAAATTAACCTTCAATTTAGGCCAATTTTATTGGATTGGATTCCCTGATAATGCTTATTTATTAAGAAAGTTCTTATAGACACCACATTGATCACTGATGTTTCTCTCTTCAAATCTGCCCATCCAAATCCAACATCTACTATAACAGATATGGCACACATTTTGGAAACAGTCTTTCCCCATTGGCTGTAGAGAAGTTCGAAAGACATTTTAAACAGTGATTGAAAGCAGGAAAGGTCTGCTAAATTCAGCATTCAAAAAAAAAATTCTTCCAAAGATATTAGTGAATTAGTGTTAGTATGATTGACACATGAACACAACATAACAAAACCGAAATCTCCTATTTCAATTATCTACTTAGCTTTAAATCAGGTACCACAAAATTCTTAAATAAAAACACCACATTCACTTCTGCAATAGTTGTATCATAGTTTATAGAAGACCATATTGTATCAAACTGCCCTTGGAATACTGGTATATTAGAATTATAACTCTTTAGAGCATTTCTTCCTATAACCAATTTCTCTCTTTTCCTGAATATTGAGAAAATGAAAACTTTCCACTAGGATAACGTACATGACCAAAATGTTTTTCTTATGAAAAAAAAAAGGAATCCTCGTATGAATTATAGAGAACTGAAAAGGATAACACATTTTGAAACTTAATAATGTAATTTTGATTATTATACAAGTACATCTTTGACCTATTCATAATGAGACACTAAATCTCATCATAATTATAGTACAACCCAGACTCTGTTCATAGGATTGACCACTAGAACATTACTGTACTCATACATTAATATGATATATGCCATATTTTTCCCATCCCCAATCCATCCATTTCTCAAAGAAAAGGTAGAAAAATCAGAGATATGTTAATATCATAGGACAGCTGAATTGTATTATATCTTGCATTATTTCTCCTATGCAAAATTTCACTACAGACATATTTATTATACTACTAAAATAGTTTCCTCACATGTTAAAATAAAATTGGCATAAAGTGGATAAAATAACTGCTTATACATATTCCATCTCTAAGAAAACATTTTTTGGTATAAAACATAAAAACAACAAATATTTCTTTCTCTACCTACTATTTTCCTGTATCTTGGATTATTTTATAATGGCGCTGTAGCAATGTTTTCTATGTTATATGGGTTCAAACATTCAAAATTCTTCTCAAACCAATCATTAATTTTAGAGAATATCTGAGACACATAGAATTCAAGTGACTTACCCAAGGTCACAAAACAAGTTCAGTGGCAGAACCAGAAATAGACAGAGGTCTCCTGATTACAGGCCAACTTTCTTTCTACTAGATGCTATATTTCCCAACAAAAACGTGAAGTAAAACATCAAACAAGGAAAAAGCAAAAAAATATTCTCATGGTGATACCCGAACTTGACATTTTATTATACAGTATTTAATTAGAATGTTTTTAAAAAGAGGAACATGCTACAACTATGCAAGTAATTCACCAATGCTTTTACTCTTTGAGGAATATGGTTAACTTAGCACTAATAAGTTAACATTTTAAGAAAGTTATACAAAATTTTTACTACATCAAAGGATGAAAATGAAAGATTTGACAATGATCTCACTACCAACTGTAACTGCCCATTAAATAATTTTTCCATCATTTATGTGAGAGGTCCCATTAATAGATCTTAACTAGTCTTATATAAAAATAATTTAACTTAAATTAGCAGATATAATATTCATTTAAATAATAAAATCTCAATGTACCAAATATATTAAAATCTTTATTGGATTTCTTGTCTTCCTGTGATTAGCTTTTATTATAAACTATTTTATGAAAACAGCTTTTTTTAAAAAAGAGAAACATAGTCAACTAATATTATTTGAACAGCCATATCTTATTTAAATGGCAATAAAATATAAAGACTTATTTCACGTATGTTATTGTAATGAATCAGACTTCAGTGAACCTTAAGAAGCTAAGCATACCCCTCCACTCTTCCTATCTCCCCCTTTTTCCTTAATTGTTACTTTGCCACAGTCAAACATTCTACTTTTCAGTGCTGTTAATGGTAGTTCTAATGAGAACTCTTCCCAATGGTTCATTTAACCAATAACCGGTTGGAGTAATTAAGGACAGTAAAGTATACCCTTTCTTAGTATCCATTACCGTCACATCTATGGCAGGATATTAGTTTTAGACTTAAGAATTATAAAGACTTGCCCTAACCAGTTTGGCTCAGTGGATAGAGCGTCAGCCTGCGGACTTGAAGGGTCCCAAATTCGATTCCGTCAAGGGCATGTACCTTGGTTGCGGGCACATCCCCAGTAGGGGGTGTGCAGGAGGCAGCTGATCGATGTTTCTCTCTCATCAATGTTTCTAACTCTATCCCTCTCCCTTCCTGTCTGTAAAAAATCAATAAAATATATATATTTTTAAAAGAATTATAAAGACTTTACAAAGGAGAATGCCCAGTATTTTGTTGTTGTTGTTCATTCAACCATATGAACTACAAAAGAGAAATAAAATATTTTCATATAATATACTGAAATAGATGACATTTATAAAGTATCATTTCATCACTTATAGTAAGTAGCATTTCATCACTTATAGTAAGCTATTTTTGAACAAACATTTTAAAATTTAAGGTACCATCCAGGTGCAAGCTATGAAAAGAATGGGCTTTTAGTCAAGTAAAGCAGTATAACATTTTTTATATATAAGAAAGTTGTCTGTATTGGTCCTTCCAATAAAAACAATCTACTGAAAATAAACAGATACATAAAGTAATCAGTGTCATTAAGATATTCGGTTAGCTCATGAGAATTAACATAATGGTGACTTTATATAAAATTGTGTGAACCAAAAATTTTCCCTTGTCAATATAATGCATTACCTATTACATTACAACTGAATATGTTGAGTTCAAACAAAAATAATAATCTGTAATCAACTTAATTTAAGAAGGCACATACAAGGGGGTCATGTTTATCCATAAATGCAAGTCTTTAACAAGGGTGCATGACACTATTTGAAACTTCATTGATTGGCTAATGTTCCCATTTATCAACATTGACAACAGACGTACAATTGGTCCAACTATCAGATTTAATTGCACTTGAGTATAATTATGTCCTAAAGGACCAAGCATTTGTTAAAAAGATTCCTAACAATGAAAGAGAAGTCTCAAGACTTTCAGTGTATATTAGCATTGACACATTATTAAAAGCTTATCATACAATAATACTTTTTTGAGGTCAGAGGAGTCTACGTTGGGAGCAGGAACCTTTCAAAATGAAGCCTAATTAAGCATCTACTTAGTAGGAGCCTCAATGACACAAAGATCAGGACAGACCTAGAATATAAAACCCAAATGTTTGGCAAGTTTACTGATTTCAAACCAATACTTCTCTACTGTGACAAGAATCTGTTGAAAAATCCTTCAATTCAAGTATTTGAATTGACTTTTAAAACTAATTATAACTATCCATAATTGTCAACAACCATAAAATCATTGAACATTTACGATAAGTTATACTTATTAAAATAAGCAAGGTACAATATTTAAAAATATTTCCCTATTTTTATAAGCTTGCTAAAAAGTTTATCTTTTAAATGTCTTCTTTCCTATTCCTAAGCTGTGCTATTTTTTCTGATTCTGTCCTTGAAGTCTGATATGCAATGCAATTTTAAACACAGAAGGAAAACAGACCATGTATTGAGGGAGTTTAAAATAATTAATTTTCCAGCTATGGCACACAACCTATCATATGACAGTTACTAAAGTACAAATTTGGCCTTATAAATTTATCTATATGTTCAGAGGAAACTGAACCAACTTTAAATGAGCAATTAAACTCATAAATCATGAATTTCCCCTTACTTACAGGAAAACATGCTTGTTAACAAAGAACACTGTGTCTAAGGATGTCGATAGATTTAGTTACAAGATTCTATCAGTTAATTTGTGTTGTACAAAATACTTACTTTGTTATACATCAATATATTTTTCTGTCTAAAATAAAATACTTTTATTCTATAATAGTCCAGAAATAACTAGAAATTACCAACCTCCTAATATTGACCTGGAGCAACCTTAATTCTTCTTTCCAGGCTAACTGGTTTATATTAGCATCTAATTAGAAGACTAATTTAGAATGCTGATTTAGACTGACATAAATTATTTTTACTTTTAAAATATATCAAACTATTCAAGAATAAAAAAACAAACAAAAGTCCGTTACATCAAAATACTAAAAAAAAATTTAAAGCATAAAATTCACTAATAAAATGAATATTTACTTTTCCTTAAGATAAATTTTAAAAGTATAATTTTAAGGGTAAAACTAA